TAGCTTATGTTTTCTTACATTGTTTTGGAATGCCTCTCCAAGATTTCGGCAGACTGGGACCAGAAAAATAAGAAAAGGGAAGGGAATGTTACACGAAAAAAAAAGTATGTATGGCGTTCATGGTGGGACGTATTGACCTGATGGTTGCGCATTGGGAAAGGCACGAGGGGAGAGCGAATTGGGGAAAGGAGTGTCTCGCCGGATGTTTGTTTTAACACTTCTGGCCTGGGAATTCGAACTACGAAGACGAGAAGTTGTCAGTGGCTATGTATCGGGAAAAAATGTGCCCCATGTTTATTATCTATGCAGGCAGCTGGTCGTCAGAATAATAACCCTTTTAACACGAGACAGATCGTAAGAGATTGGTGACCGTTAATTTGAGTTCAAATGTCATTACATTTCATTTACTAGATGAAATGGAATAGTGTACGGTGCCATACTTTCCACGTATTTTCTTGATTTCTTCTGTGCTTTACCAGCATCTTTCCATCACTGTTGCCAGATTGCTGGACAGTGAAGCCACGTGATTATTGTGCCCTATTCCGAGCTATCTCGACATCCACCCCCCCCCGGAGAAGAAATATGTAAATGACGGTGACAAATGGCATCTATTATAGAGAATTGAAATAAGTATAAAAAATGCTTCTCCCTAATTCCTTCTTTGCTAGAAAGTAGAAAGGGACAATATTAACAAAAAGAAAAAAAAAAAAAAAAAAAAAAACCAAGTAGCTAACCGATAACCTAGGCACCCATACATACTGTTTAGGTATATTGCCTTTTCTGGTTATATACACCCCGGACCGACCTTTATCGAAATAGTAGGGCCGATGTAAAACACCGTGGCAGTCAATGGGTACACAGGCTCCGTGCTTGGTATTACAATACCAACTCCCATCGCAAAAACCCATACCCGTCAATAGCTGGAGACACAGCATACAGGTGTAAAGGGGTGTATCGTGGACCAGAGGCTGGTCCACCCTTGTTCTGCTTCTATCTTATGGGATTTCCAATGACTGATTTACAAATCCAAGCCCCTTTATTTTCAGTGACCATAAACGCGACAAAATCAAGCCGAGTGCGAAAAGATGTGAAACTTACTCATTGTGGCTTTAAGCTGAGTAGAACAGCCACCTAGAGCAGAGATTCAAAGCCAATTGATATTCGCAGACAGCGAAACTTTACGAGGGAAGGCGAATGATAGTAGAGGCAAAAGCCAAACGAGATGGATGGTGGCCTGAGACATAAACTCGTCAGGCGCCAGTGCTATATCGGGAACAGTCAGAAGAGTGAAGCATGATTCTCAAAGCAACTCAAACCGCTGACGGTATATTTGATTTGGCCGATGGATCGATATTGATGCACATCAGTGGCTGCAGCAATGCAGACTGACTCTAAGTCGGAATATCAAGAGACGCAGATGTAGCTTTAGTATATTCAGACTTCGAAGAATATGGTGGCTGAGCCTGGACCAAAGTGACAAATGGCAGATGGTAGATCTTAAGTTTCTTTAATTTTGTCTCAAGAGTATTGCGTACGCGTACACACGAGCATCCCGCAGGAGACGCCGCGATGGCCACAAGTGTCGGGTAAGCTGGTTGGAGGAGCATTGCCATCCATAAGGTCGGAGAGAAGGAGGAAGCAGCACGGTGAAAAATAGCAAGCCGTTCGGAAGATTCGTAACATCAATGCACTTGGGGATCCTAGGACGAACTGGTTCGCTTTGAATTACTTTGCAGGAGCAGAATTCCATTCTCTTTGGCATATACAACTGTGATGATCCGAGTATCGAAGTGGAGTCAGGGTGTCAGCAGGTAGGGAGCACGAAACTAGCTGTCTGGGCGTGTAGGGGAGCTGTAAAGGTCGATGGAAACCAGCATGAACAGCTGTTCAAATTCTCCACCCTTGCTCGCTCCGCGCCATCGTCCTATCGAAAGGCAGATTATGCTCATGGCTTTTCCAATCGCCGTGAACTGATCTAGTCCATCACAATAATCACGGCAGCAGACCTTTTTCGAAACACATCCAATGCCATCGATGGGGAGTAGTACATCTCAATGTGTACAGCGTCGGCAATGAACAAGAATATGCACTTGTCTGCATTGAGATTTGATTTGACGATAGGGAGTGTTGGATAGCCAACGGAACAGAGAAGAAGCCATTCAAAAAAGGAAAAGAGGTCGAATAGCGTTTGAAAGAAAATGGAACAAGTACTTCGACAACGGAAAAAGGCAACCCAAGTTTACTCAAACTCGAACTTGCCGCTGCAAGTCTCAAAGGAACTGATCGTCAATTTCTCTCTCCACCTCCCCTTGACTCGGTCTTCCATCGAAAGGCATACATACAATCCAGTCCGAAACCCGTGTCAGTGTAGCGCATTCTCATCATGACGGGGAGGGCTGGACTAGAGCAATTTGATATACCATTGCAATGGTGTCCAACTCCACTCTTTTGTGTAATCGAGGCCAAAATCGGCCCCGAGCTCTCGATTCGGTTCCACGACTGCAGCCCCTGAGATCTCCCTGCCTGTCCGAGATCCGTTTCTCCCCAAGATAACTTGAAGTTCAAAGACAAGGATGAAAAGCCGGAATTGCAAAAACGAAACTTTTCAGAAGTCGATAATCTGGTCACACATCTTTATCCGGGGCCCATTTCGCTCCCATCGTACCTATTTCATCATCGTCGGTATGCGCAGGCGCCCCCCAACCTCCTCCTATTCCTTTTCAGAAGCAGCACGTATTATAGTACCACGTCAATGTTCGGCCGATGATGGAATTATCCACATGTACACAACATTCTCACCCTCACGCACTCATCATACCCACAGCGTATACGCTTTAATCTTCTTTTTCTCGCCAAAACCTCCCCCTCCCAGTTCCTCACCGGTCTCTTCCATACTTTGGTCACACCACAGTAACATTAAACCCGTAAATCATCTAACATAGTTCATGCCTCTTCCCCAACTCAATGCCAATCCCCCTTCCCATTTCCCATAACCTCCTCCGCCTCACATGCAGCACTTTTTCTCTCCCTTCCTCCCTCATTATTCCCCCCTCCACTCATCATTCACCGCTGGACAGTCGAAATCTTAACACTCAATTTCCTGTCCAAGTCCGCCTGCTCCTCCTTGCTCGGCACCATTCCCAAAGCCTCCTCAATCTTAGGAGACCACCACATCCCAACTGCAGCGTAGGCCATCAGGCCAGCTCCGAAGAGGAAGCGAGTGCGCGGAGAAAGGTTGCGGTAGGACCTAGAAAGCGCGCGCGCGGGGGGGGGGGTGGGGGGGGCCAGTATTAGTCAGTTAGCAAATTGTTTGTTTGGGACCTTTTTATGCTTCATCTCCGTCGTTTTAGATTGTATATAATTGCACATAGCATGCTGTATACGAATTAAAGCAATTCTGGCGGTTCACTTATTTTCTTTCTGTATGGAATTCAATTGAAATTTTGCGGAAATTGGAGCACAAAGTGGGGGGGGAGGGGCTGGACATACGACCACAGCGACATTATTTGTAAAAAAAAAAAAAAAAAGGGAACCCGATGATGGCCTTGTCGTGTTGTTGGTGGTGGTGGTGGTGTTGGACTTTTTGAGAACTTGATGTTGCCCAATGCCATCATGTCTTGGCATTTTGCTAGGAAAGGTTTAGCCTCTATTTTGGAAGTTCTTATGCTGATGTTTCTCAATATATGACTGGATATAGTTATGCCATTTGGTCTAAACAATAGAGTACTCCTACTTGCATGTCGATTTTTTGAAGAATATCATCCATTGATACGTAATGTCCTCACACAAATCCACCTATGTTTAAGACGTAAATGCCTATATGAACAGGTATATATATTGATCAGGCTACATAAATACTTTAGGGAAACAAATAACAAACTAAAGTGAACGAGGCATACGAAGATAGAAAAAGAGTCAATAATCAAGGCTACAAAAAAAATCAAATAGAACTCATCAAAATTGGAAAAAGGAGGTCATAAAAATACAGGGTTACTGATCAAGGATTAAACCAATTTTCACATTTCCAAATGCAAAGTGAAGCAGACAAGCAAAGCAGGAAAAGGGGAAGAAAAAAGGGAACCAACGAAAAATTCCGGAACAAAGTTCACAACTTAAAGCAAACCAAACCAGAAAAACATAAAAGGCAAGGCATGAACGTGCAAGGAACAATATGGGGTAATTTCACGCGTGCATTGAGAATAGGTACATCCATGTATAAAGGTAAGGTTGCCCGCTCGGGGGAAATGTTCAGTGCAGGAGGTGGGAAAAGGCATTGGGTCGAGGTTTATATAGGGGACAATACTGAGCAACGAAAAACAGAACATACATAACGGAGGCCAAAAGCAAAAAAGGGGGGAGAGAAAAAAAAAATGAAGGAAAAGGAGAATGGAAACCGCCACTGGTAGAGGACGCGGAAGGGATTTGTAAATCCATGTCCTGGAAACCACGGATTGGACCGTGCTAGATTGTCCAATCCAAGAAGTTCGTTCGCATGTCGATAAGTGGCATTCATTACCGGGGATTTTCCAAGGAGGTAGGAATGTGGAAGGGAGCACTGGGGTAGGCTGCGGGGGGAATAATATGTTATTTATAGCAAAGGGTGATATAACTGGTCATAAGCATAGTAATCCTGTTGTCCCCGACTGGCTGGCGCATAGCATCGTTCTAGGACATAGATTGATAAGAGCAAGAGTGCCGAAGTAACTGGCGAGGTAGTTAAAGTCTCTCAAGTCATTTCTTCCCGTAGGCACGGTCT